GATAAAATGAAAAATAAAACGTACAAAATTTTTTAGGTGTCAACTTATTTACAGATTGCACATTTTCCATGGTATTTTGGTTAAAAATTTTAGGGTTGGCTTAGATGCAGATGGGTTTATATGTGAATACATATAATTACAGAAATTTTATTTTTACTTCCTTTCACAAAGGAAGTATGGGAAGAATCCAGAGAAAGAAATATTTTGGGGAATATTAAAAAGGCAGAATATATTTCCCCAAAGGATCTTAAAGGCAGAAAAGCAAGCCCAGTTTTTCTTAATAGACCCAAGCAGAAACTCAGCAGAAACCAACTTTTAGAAATGTGGATGTAATAATTCATTCAGAAAGGTTGGAGCCAAGAAGCTTGAAGCTGAAGAGATTAGGAAGACAAAGACCCCTAAAATCTACATACCCCCACCCAAACTCTAAAAGACATGACCTTTGGGGACATAATAGCATTAACCCACCAATACCAAAAGGGCATATTCAGACTCAGGTCAAAGTACATGACACAGGAAAGCCGAAGCCTCAAACAGGAACAGGAAACAACCTCAAGAGCCCCAGACAGTATAAAAACCCACCACTCCCTGCTACATGTGGTCAGCTTTCCAAGAGCCATCTTTCTGTCTGGCTCTCCTCTTCAATAAACTACAACCTTCTTTCTAAAGCAGTCTCCATTTTGTTTATTCCCAGCTTGGAGTGGACCCTGATGAAGATTTTTCTTTCAACAGAAGCATGAACCAAATGTAATACAGAAACTTGAATCATACCACTTTAAGATATGATGCACTAACACAACAGATAAGAAAAAAGTTAAGTTTCCCTTTGTATTTGTATGATGTTGCTTGCGTCAAGATATAATCGCACTCTCTCTGTCTCTGTCTCTCTCTTTCTTACAGTACATTTTCTCACCATCACCACCATTTATTTCTTTACAAACATAGGAGAATGAGAAGAGGTGGGTGGAGAAGAGGGATGTGAAGTGGAGATAAATACTAAGAGAACATGAAAGTACAAAGCACTTTCTACTGTATACCATGCCACTATATACATAAGTATTCCTGCTTATTATACTGTAAAGCAGTGATGATGGGAAAGCAGTACCCTAAATGTACAGAAATCTGTACAATTAAATTTGGCAAAAGGAAAAAATAAAAACAATAAAAACAAAACCAAAGACAATTCCCCAAGAAATGCATAAACAGAAAGAAGGGACTTCACTCAGAAACACAGTTGCTATTACAAAGAAGCTTTTTGATCTATATTTCCCTCCCAGGAATATGATGCAAAATTGTGTTATTTTAGACAAGGAGAAAATCTAGTTGTGCCACAACCACTTTTAATGACAAGCAAAGGTAAATAGGCTAGACAAAGTGATCAAGATATGGCTCATTTTAGGAGTAAAATCAATCAATAAAAAAAATCAATCACAGATTTTGCATTTCAAGTTGGCAAAATAATGTATCTGACCTGTTTTTGTTATCATAGCTCTTTTTATATAAAGGTGAAGTAAAAATCTAATACACAAACAAATGGCATGCTAAAATTATTTTATTATGAAATAATAAAAAAAATACTTTACTGCATTCATTCAGAATTGGGTTCCCTTTGCTCACTGCAGATATAGAAAAGAGAAAATCCAGAAGCTAAAGCATAAAATGGTTCATCTAAAACAGGGGTCCCCAACCCCTGGTCCATGGAAAGCCCCATCCACAGGATGCAAGCAGCACACAAAACCACGCCCCCCCTCTGGTCCGTGGAGAGTCTCTCCATGTAACCCGTCCCTGGTGCCCAAAAGGTTGGGAATCTTTGATCTAAAACATAATACTAATTGAATAACGCTTGCTTTCCTCATCAATTATCTTCACTGTACCATTTTCTGTTGTCCCTCCATAATGGCCTAGCACAAGACAGCAAACTGCCTGAAAAATGGATTTTTCCATCTCTTGGCTAATGTATTAATGACAAAGTGAGAACAGAGAAACCCTTGTTGCCACTATGAGGCATTACTATGACCCAAATAAGTCATAACCACTAGAAAGAATCTCAGCCACATTATCAACTCATGATGTCTCCCAAAAGAAAACTTTTATTGTATTTGTAAGTATCTTAAAAGTCTTAACTCCTGAATCCAAACTTTAGAACTAAGAAGATTTTAACATTCATGCCTGAGAGTGGAACGCAAGTTATATGGAGTCAGAATGCAACTCCTGCTTTGTCAAAAACATTTCAAAGCAAAGAAGCCAAAATAGAGCAATAACTTAAAATAGTTCTTAATTAATAGCTACTTGCTTAATGCAAAGAGCAAAGGGAGTAATGAATTTGGCATTCATGTAATTATTCAGAGATGCTGCAACAATGACTTTAATTCCATGAGATGAAAGAAGGGTACTAGGGAGTCTTCACACATTAATTGGTGTGAAAGGTGCACAACACTATACAGGTAGTCCTCCATTTATAATCACAATTGAACCCTGATTTTCCATTACTAAGTGAGACACTTAAGTGAATCCTGCCCCATTTTACGACACTTCTCCCCACAATTGTTCAGTGAATCACTGGAGTTGTTAATAGCATGGTTTTAAACTGAATCTGGCTTCCCCATTGAGTTTGCTTGTTAGAAAGTTGCAAAAGGTGATCACATGACCATGGGGATGCTGCAATGGACATAAGTGTGAAAAATGATCATAAATCACTTTTTTCAGTGCTGTTGTAACTTCAAACTGTAACTAAAGATTGTAAGTCAAGGACTACCTGAATTGAAATTTCAGGTCCAAAATATCCTAATTAGCAAGACCCCCTAAGATACAATGAAGGGATAAACTGTACACCAATGGTCAGCTATCACTCAATACACATGGGAAAATATACATGGTGTAAACAACAAAAGCCAAGCAACAGAAGCAGGCTAAATTATAATTAATTAGTAACATTTTTGCTGTTAAAAATATGGAATTTAACTGAGGCTGTTGAAATATTTAAAAGTTACTTCCCTTGATTAAAATCTCATCTCCACCAAAAGCTTTGTGGGGGTGAAAGAAAAAGAGGTAGCAAACATCAATTCTTGACCCAGAACATCTGCACTCAGGAAACTGAACAAAACAGCAACACTGATGTTGTTTCTCTCACAGTACCATTTCAGTCAAATCTGAAGTCTGCAGTAAAAGCAGAAAGACCAAGTAATCCAGTCATAGAACTTCCTTATAAAAAGGGTGGAACCATAATTTCATGCTATTGATTTACAGTATATGTTAACAAATTCATTTATTTATCTCAGTTTAATCCTGAATACATTTAGGGTTTAACCCTACTGCAGGCATGTAAAAAAATATCAAAATCCATATGGGATACTTTCTGGGGGAGGAGAGCCTTCTGAATCTCTTCTAGACATCTGAAATGACTCTGCTAGCTCAAACCATCTGCAAGTCCCATGAATTTTGCCATAACACAAAAATCTATTTTTCATGATGGGCCGCCTTCCCCTAAGCATCAATAGCCTCATTATAGTTGGGCATTCAAAACAAAGTCCATCCAGCTGCCACATCCAAATGTTAAAAATGTGCTGAGGAGCTCCCATCACACAGCAACAAGAGCTTTTGACAGCCGCAGTCCTCAATCGTCTTAAGTCAGCTGTACCTATAGCTTGAACACATATGAATTATCATGGTACAATATCTCTCTCAAGCTCTTGCCAGACCACATGATAAACTGGATGCAGCCAATTTAATCCACACTTATCAAAGCAAATCCCTATACACAGCCTTAGATCTACCTGACTTAATAATAATAAAAAAAAGCTCACATAAACACGAACAATTAACACCACTGCCATTAAGAGGTTTCCAGTGTTGCACATGATAGGAGGAAGCAGGATCAAACCCAAACTGATTTTAAACACAAACTACGTCATTCATTCCACCTGCAACGGAGTGGAAGAAGGGGACAGAGAAAGCAGCCCAGCACTTCCTCCAAGGCCTATAACTAACACAACCGAAGATCATCATCTCACACATACGCAGGCACATGAATAAACTTCACTGCGAAGTGGGTGGAGGGAAGCACAAAAGCAACCTTAACCTCTATAATCCTTTCCCTCCAAATCACAGTTGAAGTGAAGGTCACAGCAGGGAGGCAGGGAAAGCAGGCAAATCAGCAACAGGTGTCTTTTCCACCCCCGTCCAACTCTCAATCCATTCACGTTTATTTGGAAATCTGCTTCGGGGGAGGAAGGGGAGGCTACATTCCCCCCGAGTAAAAGCATGCAACGGGGACGGGACTGCCCTGGCAGACAGAGAGGCTGGCCAAGCTGCATCCAAAGCTGCCCGGGAAAGGTGGGGTCTCATCTAAGATGTTGATCAGGAGAGCAATCCGCAGCTCCCCCCCTCCCAAAAAAGCGACCCTGGATTAAATACGGAGTGGTGCCATATTTAGAAGCCGCCAGATCTCGAATCTCTCCCGCACAATTGCGCCCCTTGCCAGACACTCGGGACGCGCTCTTCTCTAGCCGCCAGCTTGCAGCGAGGTCATTCAGACCAGGCTGTGCATCGCAGCCCGGGCCCCTTCCTTCTTTCCCTCCTTCGCTCCCCCCCCCCCTCCCGTCTTCCTCAAGCCGGCGAAGAGCCGCTGCTGTCTCCTGATCGCCCACTCCCCTTGGCTTGGGGAGCCCGCTGCCCGCCTTACCTGCTCGCCTTGCCTCGGCCCCGCAGCAGACAAGGCAATGCTGAGCCATGCCCAGGCGACGCTCGCCAGAGTGACCCGACTTAGCTCAGCAAGCGCGGGGGGGGGGAGGGAGGTGATGATGAGGGAGGGGCGCAGGCGGGCGAGGGAGACACTCCCCGGGAGCAGCTTCTTCTTTTCCTTCTCCCGGCGTTGGGCGTCTGAGGGGAGGCGCTCCGTGCCGCTGTCAGTCAGGGCGCGCTCGGCCCTCTTTCCTCCCCGAGCGGCCACCGCCACAGAAGCCGCCTCCCTCGCTTGCCAAGGGTGCAGCGAGGCGGCCCTCTCTGGAGCCGAGGCGCGCGCTTTGCTCCTGCCGCTTGCGGGCTGGTCGTGGCGGCTCAGCCCAGGGTGCCACGTGAAACGGGTCCTGCAAGAAAGCTGAACGGATTCTGGCCACCCGCTCCAAGAGAAGTTGTGAGAAGGCTCGCTCATAACGTTGGGAGGAAAAAATGGATGTGGGAGGGGAAAAAAAAAAAGCAAATGCTGCAATCTAGTGCCAAGCTAGCTATGACGGGATATTAGTGTAACAGGTTCTTTGCCAGCGTGTGAGTGTGTGCAAGAGAGAGAAAGCATATTCATGTGCTATGTATGCATATTTAATGGAGGAATAGCATGGGGGATGTGAAACCTTCCCACAGTTCAAACCTTTTGGTTTCTTCCTCTCTTGATATACATTATCTACCAACGGGATGTCTCGTTTGTCACTTCTAGATAAGCAATGTGGAGAAATTTAAGGCTATTCCTCTAAAATATCTTTCAGCTTTAAGAGGGGCTCAAGATATTCTAAATCAATTTTTAAAAAGTACAATTTTAATACCACGGGTTCCTATTTAAATGTAAGCTTAAATATAACTTACATAGCCAGGTAACCCCTAAACAGGTGACATTTATTGCAGAATGGGTTTTGAGGTCTGGAAATCTCTGATTGTAGGGAGGAAAGTGTACAACAAAGGTCAGAAAACTTGAGGAGGTTGCGTGAAATGCTAAGAATGTGTTGAAGATAATCCCATTCAGTGGCTGTCATTATGGAGTTTCATATCTACTAAACACCTGTCATAGAAGCTGCAGAGAATCATAAAATACCCATTTATATAAATAAAGTGATAAGACTGTTTCTTGTTACCTTTTAGCATCTTTGGGAGGCAACAGGAAAGGAGAAGGCAAATGATAGACTCCCCCTTATGTATTTGCATGACACATGCCTCAGATTGCCCTCTATTACAACTATGCAAAGTATTCAAAGTAATGCTCTGTAAAATGCCCTTCCTCAAAGGATTGAGGCAGCCATTTCCTTTGGCAGATTCAGCATAGCTGCTTCATGGTCTTTCCTAGGTTCTCTGCACATCTGATGCACAGACAGCATTTCCCCTCAGACTGCCAGCAAAACAAAGCAGCTGTTCATACCCACAGTGGTAACAACCTAGAAAATCCTCAAAGCAGCATCACAGAGATTTGCCTCAACAGATTGAGGAGGATTTTCATTGCACCACCAAGTTTTGTAAATCACCCTTTGAATGCTTTGCATAGTGTTACTTCCTACCACTTTTCTTTGTCATGTTTGAAACATACTGACATAGCAGCTGTCCTAAACTAAGGATGCTTATGTGGTTTCTATGATTCAAGAGGAAGTATCACCTTAATATCACACCAGATCTGATAGGTGTTACTTTCCCATACTTTATGTTGTATATTATTCTTTCCCTGAAGTACCAAAGAGCCCAAGCATTCTGTGACTGTTCATTTGTTGTCTCCATTCCTATTAAGGAGGGGTGTATATCTTCCCCACACTAACATTCTTTCAGGCCACTGAATACCCTCAACTATCTGTCTTATACTTTCAGAGACAGTTATAGACAGTCCTGACTAAGATGTGTGAGAAACTTTCTCTGGGTATCTTTATGCCCATGTATATAATTTTTTTAAAGTTTTTTTTTTGTCTTCCTGCCTTTATCTCACCATTCCATATATATTCCAAAACTTCATTCCTTGTTGATTAACTTTTTTTTCCAGAACTGTTGTTCACTTTTTCTCCAGTTTCCCTGAATAACAATCCTTGTTTGGTTAATTACTTGCAACCTACCCCTCTCCCCAAATCAAAGTTATAGTGCTAAACCCCATTCCTGGGTGTCTCCTGGCCTACAAAAGAGCCTAGTACAGATACTGTGGCTATCTAATTAGAACAGGGGTTTTCAAACTTGATCCTTTTATGACTTGTGGACTTCAACTCCCAGTGTGCCTGGCTGAGGAATTCTGGGAGTTGAAGTCCATAACTCATAAAAGGGCCAAGTATGGATCTGTGAATTAGAGAGAACAATTTAGAAATGCATACTTGTTGGAGACTGATGGTTTCCTTTGCAAGATGTCAGCTTAACCCTTTTTTAAAAAAAAAAAATAAAGGTGAGACATGAATTATCACAGACACTAAGAAAGATTTCACAAGCTCATTGCCTTCCCCTTATCTGCAAAAAAAATGAGAAAGAACAACCACATTGTGCAAGAGAGTATATTTCTTTTGCAGTTAAGCCATAATATATTTGGGGTTTATTAAATATGATTTTGAGCACATAATTTATTTTGAAAACAAGCAAAGATTATATACTGTATACTTATAATTGACCATTACCATAATGAACTAAGAATCTATCTGTCCAACTGAATTCAATAATTCTTTCTTCCAACTAAGCATGTATCATGCAAAGCAACTTAATGTAGGCATGCTGAATTCAGCATAAGATATATCCTTTCAATAATCACATTAACATAATGAAGATGGGATTTAAAAGGCCTACAATGGACAAAGGAAAGGGAAGAGTGCTGAAATAGTTGAAAAGTGTTTGCTCAACTCTAGTTCTAGTGTTATCCAGAGCCGATATATGGTTCATATTAAATTTTCTCAGATGAATGCAGCCATGACATAGTTATTTTAAATCACTGTAGCCTAAAGGAAACCTTGGTAATAAGTTCTATAACATCGTTATATAGGAGAAAAAAAGAATTGGATTTCCAATCCTGTATTTTATGATTGCATTTTTCACCAATGACAAAGCATGCAGACAAGCACACAAACCTAATTTAAACCCCTATATTTACAGACTAGTATAGGAAATATTGGAATTTCATACTTATATCCTTATAAAATTAACATACTTTGCCATTTAATCAAAAATGTTATCATAAATTTTCAGAATGTTAAATTTCAGCTTAACATCTATTTCTTTATGTCAGAGATATGATTTTTGAATTGTTGAGTTATTCAAATTATTTAATCATTTCTGCATTCAAAGACAGTTTATATATTGCAAACAAAAATATTAGTGAAGAAAAATGCACTTCTCTGTCCCCGTCAGGAATTGTATCTCTGGTTCCACCTTAAAGAATGATTCTCTCACGCTCCTCATAGTCACCATACAGGGTGGCTAAATGCTGTAGGCCTCCTGTTCTTATAAAGCTAGGGGAAAGAAAAATACGTTTTTATATATTTCTAATCTATCTTTCCACATAAATTCTAAGCCATCTTCTAATCTGAACATTTAAAAATAGATCATTGTGTAATAAATAAACAGGCAAAAAAATCCCTCCTGCCTGAAGCCATTATTAAAGGGTCTTAAGTACTTTCACAAAAATAGAAATCCTACTAAGGTGTTGGAGATATCAAATTAATATCAGTAAATACCTGTTATTGTAAATGCAGTGAGCATTTCCTGTTGATCTGAGAACACCAGGTTTCCTGCTCTATATGAAGGATTTAGGCTCCAAAGAATTTGCTTTTGAGAGATGGAATCAGTATTTCCAAATCAGGCCCAATTTTGGCTGCATTTATTCTGGGGTCATCTGTTTCTGGAGCTGAAAAGGGGAAGCTGAAGAGTCACGTCTTTCATAGTCTTGCTATAAATAAAAAGGTGTAGGAGAAGGGCAGACTGAGCTAGAAGGCAGAGTTAAACATGTCATAAGTTTGGAATCATTGCATTTCCAAAAGAGACCCACATCCAGCCTCCTTGAATTCCATTGCCCTTTATCTAGTGTCAGTTTAGCTTTGATCTTTAGTTGATTAGATTCTTGTATATAGGTGCTTTGAACTCAATGAATACTCATGGTTAATTGTTCCTGACAAAAGATTCCTGAATAAGAATCCCCCGGAATCAAAATCACAATGAAAATCTCTGAACATAGGAAACTTATGAAAAAGATACTCATTGTCAATATTGGCAGACTTAGGTTTTGTTACAGTTCTGACTACACAACAACTGAAACAAGAATGACAAGTGATTATCAATCTCAATGGATCGTTGCAAGGAAGACAACTGGGCTGATTATACGTCTCAGCTATTCAGTGTCTTCTCCACATGGCCTAAATCAGAAGAAGACAAGATCATAGGGTCAGGAGCAATATTACTTAAAGAGAATGGGAAGGAAATGTGTGTCCAGCAGCAGCAACAATTGACAGTCAGCACATAAGCAGCCAGGAGCCTAAGGGAAGGCAAAGCAAGTAGAAGGTAATTTCCTGCTCTTGACAAGAGCCCTAACCACAGTGAAAGGATGTTCTCACTTTGTCACGTTTGCCCAATTTTATCTTCTCCTTTCTTCCCATACTTGGATTTCCCCAAATTTCCCAATCTGCCATCTTACAGACACACAATGCTTCCCCTTCTATGCTTTGCTAGTCTTAATTGTCCTTGAAATTGCAAAATCCTCATATAAGTTCACATTGATAAAAACCCTACATTGCCTATGAACTATCATCAGTCCAAAAGTTGCAATGGCTGAATGTTGTGAAAGTTGCAGTGCTAACTGGAGGTTGCCAATTTAAAGAAAGCTGCTCAGTTGCAGGCTAGTCAAAAATAACACTGTGCTGTCAACAACAGCATCTTTTTCAAAAACAACTCATCTCCTACACACCGAACCATTAGCTTGCCCAATGCAGACACAGAAGGTATTAAATCACTGCAAATCTATTTGCAAAAAATTAATAGAAAGCTCCACAGCTGCACTGAAACAATACAAAGCAAAATGTCTATGTATGCAGACAAAGATTTATATAGTTGCCCTCCAACAAGAATACAAATTGAGGAAATTAAGTAATAATTAATCATCAAAGATGCGTAAACCTTTCATTGGATAAGAAAAATGCATGCAAAATATACAGTGTGATGGTTTGTACCATAGCAACCGCTGATCTGGCCAAACTATAAATAGCATAAATTATATTTTGTTACAGATAAAGAAAATTCCTTTGAACTGGCTAATAAATTAAAGATTATTGGTAATAATATTGCCAGATGCTATTCAAAAGAACTGTCAAATTTACTTAAATCATAATATTACCATGTTACCAACTGATTTCATTTACTTTGGTAAAACACATTTTCAGTTGCATTTAGAAAATGTAACCTTGGCAACAGCATTATATTTTTGGA